ATATATATATCAATATGTATATATATTTCGCGAAATAATTTCGCGACAGAAAGATTTCAAAAAATGAAGAAGTGTTTGAAAATATTTTAAAGACTTTTATATATCTTTCAGACTCTTTTATATATCTTTCAAACTTCGATTTCTTTTAGAAGAGATTAAAATTCACACATTTACGAAATTTTAATCTTTTATGAACGCAAAATAAAAAGAAGCCGTCTGTATCTCGGTTGGAGAACATGGAGTTCCGTGTTACGCCGCGTCTCTTCACTGAGAATAATCGCCGCGTCGCATCAAGTGCAATATTAAAGAAAGATGGATAGACGCAGCGAAGAATGAAGATCTCAAAGACGACGAAGAGCAGGCCTAGAAGTTTATAGAAAATATGTAGTCCACACATCGTGAGAAATTAGGTATAATCCTAAATAACAGTGTAATGATGCGTAATTCTCTCTCTGTGATTTTGCAAGTTGACGTTTCGCACTTTAGGAGAGAAAAAAAAAAACAGTATAATCTACGATGAATTAGGATGCTCTTTTTTTTAAGGAAACAACTAACATAGAGAGAAATCGTACGTCGTAAGACCAGAGTATTCTGATTAAGTTAATACGATTTATCTTTAGCTTCGTACTGCATTAGAGTCGCGTAAATAAGTAAAACGAATATAACGCGTAATACTCCATGCTCCGGGAAAAAAAAAAGTGCAAGAATGAGGAGGAAGAAATTCACGTCAAATGGGCTAATGTCTTACTGGAGAAGGAGTTTCTTTTTTATTTCAGACGCGAAATAATTTGCGTTCAGTACTCGCTTTGTTTGATAGATCTTTCTTTATTTTGCGTTTTGATTCGCTTCGAGAATATTATAAGGCCGAGTGATGAGATTAAAAGTTGCGACTCAGTGTCGGATACATTCGATAGACCGTCCTGGTACATAAATAGGATCGGTGAGAGAGAGGGTGGCTATAGTTGCGTATTTGAAAATCTGCAAACAAATTCAGAGGGAGAGAGAAGGAAAGATAGATTGCGATGCGATGATTATACGGATTAACCGATTCTATACAAATGCTACCGAGGGCCCGAAGGCTGTGTTTACTTGTTGAGAGTCCTTTGGGCCGCTGTGGTTACACGTCAATGAATGAATATTAGGCGAAACGCAAGCAAAGTATCTTTTTATGAGGTAAAGACAAAAAAGCGCGATGTACTATAAGAGCAGCTATAAATACTATGTAATAAATTATTATTATTGTTACGATTATATTACTTGCAATGATTAATATACCACTACCGCATAATTAGGCGACTAAATAAATGACAAAAAATACAGATACACATATATTATATATGAAATATTATGCATAGTGGTTAAATATCGTGTTGCAAGATAACTCTGTAATATTCAGCTACGAAATGGTCTGACACTGACTAAACCGATACTTACGAGCAATTTATACAGATGACATTATTTCCCCGGAGCTTGATCTATCGTATTCCGTTCGAATAATAATTTATAAATACCTACATCTTTGAGGCCAATTGATACCGATCGATCTCGCTTTGTATATTTTACAAACACTAATCAAAGAACCAAACAAAATACTCTCTTCATTTTAAATATTTCATATTACGATTAGGCATAAAGAAGTGTACGAAAAATAATTCTAGTACGATTTAGTTTACGATTATGAATCATATGACGTTTCTTACTTCTTAATCCTAAAGAATACAAATAAATTCGTAGCATAAACGCATGTCCTTAAATTTCTATATACATATAACGTTATAATAAAATAGCCATATATCTTTTTATCTGGAATTTTTTTTTTAATCTATATTTTTAATTTTTTTTTAAATTGATAAAAACCTATTTTTTATCAATGATTTATCAATACCAACACATAAAATTCATAAATTATAAATAAACAATTTTTCTGTGTCGTGCTTTTTAGGATTAATAAAGAAACGTTTTTTCAATTTTCCATACAATCGAACGGCAGTCATTCGATTTTCCTTTTAGATCGGAGACTGCAATGTTTTCTTTCACGTGAAAAGTGATTTGGTCATCCTCTATCAAAAATAACACCCGCATATTATTTTTACTTATGTGATAACAAGAGGCATTGGCAAACGCACGATTGAAAGAAATGAGCCAAGTCGTTTTTTCTAGTTGACATGTACACACGTTATCGCGAATATATGTACATATATATCTCTCTACATAAGATTTTAAAAATTACACGCGCGTTTCATACATATACATATGTAAACATGAAACACTTACACACGTGCGAGAAGGAGAGAAAGAGAGGGAGAGAGCAAGTGAAAAAGAAAGAAGTACCTATTTTTCATGTAAGAGAAACATAGTTTTCTGTCATTATTTTGCACATCCTCACACGTCTCATCTTAAATAATATATTATATATAAATACTATATATAATAGAGTCGCGAGAAAGAAAGAAAAGAGAATGCGTATAAGAGGTCAAAACATTCCAATGGTAGAGTAGTCGTAGACCGCATAATCGACGTTTTTATAGATTAATCTGTGCGAACGGTCTAGGATTAATCTGCCGGTTCGGGCCTAAGACAAGTACGCATTACTATATAAATATTATATAAATATATAACATTGTTACTGTGCTCTCCGAGACGAGTGCGAGGAAAAAGAACGAAGTGATCATATACAAAAAAAAAGAAAAAAAGAAAAAGAAGCTATATATACTCTCTTACTACCACTGCTAACTAATAGACACTATTATTTAGCCACTGTCTACTTATGTCGATAAAACGATAAAAAAAAACTGCGGCAAGGAAGCGCTGTGTTAGTACTCTACTCACATACACAAACAAGATATTACGTGTACATATATACCGTACGCAATGTACGTATAAGGAGATACGCATCTATAGTGCACTACAAACAGACGGGGGAGAATAACATTTTAGGATTAAACAGAGATCGTGTGACTATTTGAGATGTGTGAACCTTATTCCGTAAATGCTAACAGACAAGAGTGAGACATTATTAAATAAAAATTAAAAAAAAAGAGGTAAATAGTTTTTGTATTGAGAGATAGATTGCGCGTGAACAGCGAAATTGGATCAAATCACGGGAAACAGATCCGGAAATCGGAAATGGATGCATAGTATCTGTACTGGCGTAAACTGACAGCTCGAGATAAAAACGCAGGTTTACTACATCTGATTCGAGAGATAACGCGCACTGGATTGCGAGAGTGTTAGATGCAATAGTCGTCCGAGGCTGATCAAAGTGCGTCAATTTAGCTACGATCTATGCGGAATAGGACGTTACATAAAAAAAAAAGAGAAGATCGTGAACGTGTGTTTCAAATTTCACATATCAATCGTTCTGTTGAAAGACGTCGCGAAAGTATACGCGAAAATTGTTTTTAAAACGCGCTTGGTAAAAAAACGCTTGACTGGTATATAGCGTATGCGTATATTATCGTATATTGATTTCTTTAGGATATTTAATCTCGCAATTCACATACAGCAGGCTTAAGAGACTTGGACGAAATTTCCAATTACTGTACATCCCGACTATCCTCCGCTAATCTCGCTCGTTAAACATCGTATTGACGAATACGACAGAACGACCGCGTTTAAAATTATCTTCCCCTTGAAGTGAACTTACAATTTCCGTTTCCGGTTTCAAGGATCGAAAGCCATAAATAACGATCGATAAAGAAACACGCGAGTATCCAAAGCTAAATGCTATTAGACGATCGGCTGTTAAATGTATTTTAAATAGTTTCTTGCACGGTGGCACGGTATTTTCGCATATAATTATATAGTTTTAAATAAAAATATATTTCTCATTCTCCTATACGCGATATTGTGCGTGTACGACACATTATTAAATATTTATTTCATTATTTCATATTAAATAAAACTAATTAAATTACTTTAGCGCCATTTTTGATAAATGTGAATACGTTATTTTATAGATCCATACATTACCCGTTTTTCTACAACTATTCAAGAAATCAAATATGATCGAGACAACGAATTACGCGCAAATTAAAGTTTGCGCATGCAGTAATTCTTGTATAGTATTAAATAGAGATGTATAATCTAGACCTTAACGATAGACCTTAACGATTGCACGAGTGCAATGGTGCTATCAAACGCCATAGTTTTGTCTAAAGAAGTCATAAATAATAGCAAATGTATTTCGCAAAAAATCGGAGAAGTAGCAATTTTAATCCTCTTCATTAAATCTTAAATAACTGTGTCAAATAGAATTTATCGTATTAATTTCTCGTATATTAATTATATCTTTATTAAATCTTAAAGAACTGTCATAAAATTTATCATATTTATTTCGATAATTTTTTTTTGCATAATTATACTATTCTGAATTATTCAACATTATTATTGACATATGAAATATTACTCGATTCCCGCCATATTTGTGCCTCCCAGAACTTTCCAGTATCGTGGCACCGTGTGAAAACTAGGGCAGCTAGGCGGGAAATTTGTGCATAGTACGCCTTGTAAAAAAATAAAATGAAGAAAACATTACCCTAGCGTCAATTTTCTACGAAAGAGTTTTTCTACAGGGTTCACACCATGAGCGGGAATACGACGTCGTGCTTATAGTATGAATATGTACGCATGATGTGCGGCGCTGGTACGAGTCTATCGATGTTTTTTCTATTACACGATATTGCGTTTGTGTGATTACGATCGTTTCTCACGTGTGAAAAGGAAAGCAGCGTGCAACAGAGAAAATTATCAGTTATAGTGAGAAGTTTGGTAGAGATCGATAAATAATTGGAATGAGAGAAATGAGATACGGATGAATATTTTAATTTTCTACGCGAGTCCGCGTTTTCGTTTCTTTAGCGATCCGCAGGTTTTACTTGATGTTTTGTAAAATAAGATTATCCAGGAATTTTTAACTACAAAGATTGTATACAAAATTAAAAATTTGGATGAAATACATGGCAGAGTAAGAATGCTGCGGTTCTCTAAAAGTATATCACCGATATCCTTTGCGATGCTAATGGTGTAGCTTGCACGACATTGCCCGCAAATGTCCGCTATTATTTGATAGAGTATCAAAATGCAAAGAATTTTTAATAATTTGATGCTATTGTTAAAAATATGTGTGAAATAAATAAGTATGTAGCAAAATAAATACACAATATATAAATATATATATATTTTACACAAATTATCCACATTTGTGCAAATTTATATAAATTCTAGTATTCAAATATATATTGGCTCAAAAGATTGCTTTAATCGATGCTACGCCATTACTCGCAAACGATTTTACCGTGTCATAAAGGTGCAAAGTAATAATAGTAAATATACGCGCGGACTATATGCCGTATGTTCTACGCTGCCGTGCGTATTTCATTGAAACCGGCTCATGCTGTGAGTAAGCAATAATTAATAGCCAAGGATTTAATTCGAACGAGGAAATCAATTGGACCTTCAGCTAATAACGCTTGGTACGTACGAATATTTCAAACTGTCGTACTATTTCTCACGAGATACAATTGCATTCTCGTTAATGTCACTTACACCGAGTGGAAGTTAGTAATCGGACGCGTTCTGGCCGAAGGAACACACACTCGTGCTTTTCAAGATCTAACTTCTTCTCGTTTCGCGGTTTACACGTAGCGATTTGCGATTCGATATATTTTACTAATGGAATAATTAGGCGTAACACAAATCTAGATCGAGGAACTGCATGCGAGTAGGGAAAAATTAGCGCGGGCCGCGAGTGTGTGCAAGCCGCATATATATATCTATGCATATAAAAATTCGAATCGAGGTCATAGTTCTTTTCTAACGGGGCCGTCGTTTCTTTTTAAAATCGATTCGAGATCCTAGCCTGGCTATATTATATTTATAGGGGGATTAACCGGCCGACTATACTTTTATAAAGTGTACGAAAAGTATTTCACGCGCGTATTTAGACATCGGCACCTTTAAAATATACTTGCCATAACGAATGCCTTAGCAAAATGTTACTGTATAATTGAGATACCAAAGGGCGAGAAGGTATATAAATATAATAAGTATACATGTCACACACACACATACACACACAAATACACACAACACACTAGGCAAATGAGTCAAAAGCCAATGCACATCAAAGAGTACATAAGTAGAAAACAGTATCCATACATTCACCTATGCGTGTACGCATAAGATATACCGTGATCGCGATCGATCACGATATGTATTATGCGTGTAATCACATCAACAAATAACAGAGTTGAACGATCACTCTGACATGCAGTGTATGCGAGACCTCTCAAAAGCGCACGAAAATACAAGTAAGGAATGTGAAGATGCAAAAGTGAGAGTATATTATTAAATGTATTATATTAAGATTGAATCACATACACTCTAGAGCGCGAGCGAAAGAGCGATCATTAACCATGTACATACCATCAATGGCAATACTTGAATTCGCCCGTCCATTTAATTTCTACGTCATAAGTTTTCACGGAAGAAAATAATAGACTTTACTTTTATCTGCTTTAAACTCCAGAAAACTCATATCCCATAGAAAAAAAGTCAAGCGAACAAACGAAAACGTCATCAAATATATCTGCAATTTTACTTTTAAACGTTGTTACGCCTTGACATATGTGCCATACGGAGAATGAGGAATCGCGAATGTTAGATATTAAAACATATAAAACGGAAGTTCCTAACATGAAGAATTTTTAAAAAATTTAATTGTGGTGACTTTTGCGAACATGAGTCTATCTTTAGCCATAATCGAGAAATAACAGAAATTTCGAAGAAACATGGAAATGATCTATATAATTAAAATCGGCTAATTGCAACACAAAATTGTTTTTCGCAATTTTCAAAGTGATTGTGTCAAGGTGATCTGCTTCGAAAATTTTCAGATTGTGCGCACATATATTTTCACATCTTATTTTTTTTACGTTTTGACATTATGCTTGATATAAACGTTGAATTTTTCTCGTTTAATTCTATCGTCAGTAAATGCGATTGTAATTAGACGAAATCTTTTCTCATGCGTGTGATGTTAAGCAGATATAAGCCAATATAATGCCAATCAATCAATTGCGATTTCATGAACAACATCGACTCGAGAAATAAGATTGTAGGATACAAGTTGTGACAACAAAGTGCGCGCATTTTGGTATTATCAGTTCATGCGTTTCGGTATTACTCGTTATAGAAACTTTGTCATTTATAAAAATCAAATTATACATAATAATGTGACATACTATTTAAGATACGATACAATTTTGTAGCAATATCTTTTACGACAATGATAAAGAGAGTGTTTTCAGTTTTTATCTGAAAAAAAGAACGTTAGTGCATATCTCGTCACATATTGTGTCCTGCCCGACGAAATTATACATGCATCTACACGTATAACATTCAGCAATTGACGAGTGTGAATGCATATACATATATGTACAAGTACACAGCACACACATGAACACACATACATGCATATTCCGAAAGGTTTCATACAGTATCACACACTAGCGACTAGTTGAAGAACTAAGCTATATATATACATATAATATATAAGAGAGAAGAAAATGAGAGTAAAAATACAATATCAAGTATCAAAGGTCAATGGCAAAATAGTTGAAAGACTCTAGCTTCGTGGTGAAAAGAAAACAATTATTTTCTATGCTATTATTTAATCACTGATAATCTACGTTAAATATGTCCGCACGTCCGTGTATATTGCATACGTTCGCATAACGAAGCTTTGCGAAACTGCATAACAGCAATTATGCGTGACTGTGACATTTCTTATCTGACTACTAAATTTTTCATGTCAAAATATTAAATATTTTACGAACGCCATTATCGGATATATTGCGTTAAAAGGACGTGTTATCAATGTACACGGACAGGTGGACATACGTGTACATATATAGAATGAATTGCAAATAAATATTATAAAGCGACACGTTCTCTACCAGTGAAGTCAATCGCGATAAATCGTATAAGTAGCGAAGAGAACAATTGCAAAAGAAACAAGTATTAAGGCTAATCACGTAGTGGGAAAAGTCGTCTCTCTATGCTGATGTCAGCGAAAATAAGGCAAACGTTTGTATACCTCGTCAATACATTTCCATATGCATGACGCGATTAAACGCAATCGCCTACGAGTATATTACTCTGATTTTTCTGTCGTGGCGTCTTATTTGACGAGTGTCATAATTAGAATTTCAATCGGCATAAAATATGTTCATTTCTTGTTGCAACGTTAGTTCGCCGTATCGATTCTGCGATAAATATTTTGCAAGAAGTTTACGTTGTTATCAGTTATCTCCCATTCAAAAGGATAAATAGAAATGAAAAAGACGCCTCACAAAAATAAAATGTAAAATAAAAGACTATGCAACACTACTTCTTTACATGCGGCAAAAATAAAATGACGCTCGTACTTGTAAAAAGATTTATATAGAGTTTCCGAAATTGTCCTCGTTTCTAGACGACACTTGCATGCTGATAAAATGTTAACTTTACTTTCGTAATAATCATTGATAAACAAATATAATTTAGTGCCTTCGCTGCTACTTATTCTAAGAATAAATACTTTGGTGCAATTAGTATTGCCTGTACAAGAAATTGATTTCTCCTTGTACCATCCTACGATTCGTGTAAAATTTATTTGAACGCACATTTGTTATACTGTATTACTACAATCGCGTAGATTTTTCTACAAACAATAAATCAGATAATGGTAAAAAAAATAAAGAGAAGCTTTACCTAAACTGTGGTATAGAAAAATGCGCGAGATAAATGATTAACAGAATAAATGATATATACAGGACGATTTCTTATATAAATTTGATTCAATACTTGATGCAATTAAAAAAATACATTTTGAAACCTGAATAAACTTTGACTCGTGTTATAAAACAAGAAATTAAGAATATTTGTCTACTCATGTAGTTAGTCAATTAAATGCAAAAATTATATATAATTATATATCTATATTTGTGAATTACAAAAGTGTTTTTCAAATACAAAAAGAGGGATGCGTTTGCGTACCTTCTTTAAAAATTTGATGAAAAAAATACAACAAATATTTCACGTGAAATATTTAATTCAAGAATTTATCTCCGCGCATATTTCGCTCTTCTTCAGGTTTAACAAATAAATTTTTCAAATAAAATAACAAATATCGATTTCCAAAGATTGTTAATAATACCAAAAATTTTCTTGTAAAACCGTTTCAATCCAAATTTAACTGTAATAGTAACTCTTTGATCAAAATTGAGGATTATTAATATTTTATATTTAATTGTATAACTGTGTTCACGAAAATGAAAGGATTTTCCTCAGCGGACTGATAGTACGTAACACATTCTCACTGTTCTATGTATCGAAAAGCGTTTCATTAATGCACTCGAGTTTGTCTTCTTTCGGATTCGGATTCAGATTTCTGTAGTTTCACTCACTAATAATTATGTATTCGTTTATCTAACAGTTACCTAACAATATTTTTTTCAAATATAAAAAATAAGATACATTAAAATTAATGTCAAATATATGAAGAGATTGAATTTCGTATATATATATAAATTATTAGCTTTTTACATTATTTTTTAAAAAGTAACAAAAAGAAATGCGTTGATATCTTTCCCAATTTAATTAGTTGTTGCGATTCGCGTCGGAAAAGTATTTCCGTTTTAAAATCTACCCATTAAGATCAGTTCGTGATAACATTAATTAAATGAATTGCCAGACAGCCAGATTTTAGCGAGAATTACATCGGCATGATAAACGAATCCATGATTTTTAGATAACAAATATTGTTGCCGAGCAGTCTTATATTCTTACAAAAGTAGAGCCAAAAACTCGCTTCTCGATAAGAACGCGACTCGGATAAGAGATTCGCGTAACAGCGATTGACTAACAATAAATTAAATATTAAATGATCGCATATCTACGATTTTTATGAAACAAGAAAATGCTATGCGTGTACGATATAAAGCTTGGAAATGAGAGTGCCGAACTGCGTATATTAGCGAATTAATGCGATATTCAAGCAACGACGAGGATGGCGACGAGAACAAGACGTCGACTAGTTTATTATACATTATCGCTCATCGAGAATCAAGAACAAATGGGAATTGAGTACCTATGTACATTGAGATATACATATGGGTATATATCCGCGTGTACAGTCAAAGCCCAATGTAATGTAAATAAACCAAGCGGACAATACGAAAGAAAAAATGAAGAGAGTGCAAAAAAAAGAGCGAGTGATGTCGCGCGTTGCAATAAGTTTCAGACGTAGAAGCCGGCAAGTTCGCAAACGAGAAAGTTTTCGACGCCAGATACTCAAACAAGATTAATTAACTCTCAGCTAACAAGTCTCATGAGAAATGATCGTAGACTACATGATGTAGCGAAATAGTACTCACCTCTACTCGAACGAAAATTTCTTCCACATGCGAACAAGCCGGTCCTGTTCATGGGGATTAAAAAAATCCAAAGGTATAATTAATAATGATAAAAAAAATTTTATTAATATCTCTCTCTTAAAAAAGATGGAATAACATCGTATTTGTAAATAGCAATTCAACCAACGGCCACCAATCGAGATTAATTAAAGCCTTAAAAGGTTCTAGTCTCTCAAAATAATCAATACATATATATGCATTAACTGTCACGTCGAATTGATCAATGGAATTGGCGTCAACTACTCCGCTAAAATATCACATCGAGTTGCCGATATTAAAAAGAAGATAAACTTGAATCCACACGGATGAACGCACACTCCGATATTTTATTATTACCTACGAATTGCGAAGCGCGATAGCTGATACTTTAATAGAACTCTCATGTTTCGCCGTTCCTCTTTATATTCAATCTTAATCACTAACGAGGGCGTTATCGATTTTACAATACAGGAATCTTAACGTGTACATAGAAATATACATACTGCTGCGAGACGCATAAATCAATCGAGATATACATAGAACGAGACGTATAACAGACACATACTATAAAGTGATACCTGTAATGAAGCGAATGTATACATATGTATCGAAGAGGAAACTATATCGTATGTAATCGTTGACGAATCATTAATGCACAGTGGACGTAGCAATGATACTTTTTATCGAAAGTGCTCAGCAAAGGTCTCTACTGACCCATATTGACTCACTCATTGATTCGCTCACTCACTACTCACTTACTACAGTATATATATATGTTATAAATATGTGCTTTATATAGTTTAACAAAATAAATTATTTCAAAAATTTATGTCTAACAGTTTTTATTTTCATTCGTTAGTTTGCTAAAAGTCATACTACCGTTATCAAATAAAATTTAAATTTTTTAGTTAAAAATAAGAAAAATATATAATTATATTAATTATAATAAAAAATTGTATAATTATATAACTTTATATTAATATTAAAAGCGGTAAATAAAAGCGGTAATTAGATTTAATAGGAAAAATTAAATTTATTAAAAATATTACTCTTTATCTAACAAAAATTAGACAAAAAGATTATATAATTATGCGCTCAGTTTTCATTCCAGTTGGGGGATCAACTGGATAGACGTATTTTTACACGTGACATTACATTATGTTAACGCATTTATATCACATATTGATACATAATGATATATTATACATATATTGAAAAATAATCTTATAAGTAGCAGTAAATGTGTATTATTCTCGGTTACAAAATAATGCACTCAAGGGATAAGTAAGTCTGTTATTACTTTCGCTTCTTGTATCTCAAGAGCGCTCTTCTTGTCGCGAATCATCTCTAATTCGCGTATTAGAGCCATCGCTGCCTCAATGCAATCATCGACCTCTTCCATAACAGTCATGTTCGGAAATACAGCCCGCAGAAAGTGCAATATTATGTTCAGCTGGTTGACGGATCTGTAATCGTCGATAATATAAATCGATCTTCCATTACCGCACGTTTTACTCGCAAATCGCAAGAACGTCCATCAAAGCACGATTCGAACGGCGTTCTATTTACCTGGCAAAGATTCTGACATTTACTTCGTCAACGTTGCTCAACCATTCTAACTCGACCAAACAATACATCAGAGGGCCATGTTCCTTCACTAAAAAAACATCGTTGAAAATTTTGACGAAAGTCCTCGCGGTTAAGAAATGAAAAAGTTGTTTTTTCCTGAGCTCATATGAATCGCATGAATCATCTTTATCGTCTTGATTATCCTTCGAGAAACGAACGTTAACGATTTTCTCTATGCTAGAGGTACTTTTCAACGCTAGTATCGCATTACGTTCGTTTTTGTTTAAAATCTTCATGCACGAGCAATCGATTACTTCGTCGATGGTGAGCTGAACGGATGGTACTGGAATCTGAAATTGCGTCTCGCCAATCTCGTACGAGATCGTGGCCCAACATTCGCTAACAGATTCTCTATCGAACGTCGGTAGATCGAGCACTATCGTTGCCACGATATGAACGGCGCCAGGGTGGATCGAGTTGATCCTTTCCCAATGAAACAAGTGTTTCCAGAACATCGATTCACCGTAAATCTCCATCTTGTCCCGTACGTATGGATAATATCTGAGGTTGAGCAACGTGCTACAAAGAAAACTTACGTAGCTATATTCTGCGCTATTGGTTATCGCTTAAAAGCGAGTTTTTTCTTTTTTAACAACAGTTCGATTAGTTTGTATATATTATATTTTAGTAAAATATTTTTTTTTTTCGCTGTTATGAAATAATGATTATGTGACGTTCATTCTATTGGAAATTTAATTGTAATAGTTATTTGCATTTCAAATATCATCTCATTAAAAAATGCAAAATATGTAGAGCGTAAAAGATGATCGTAATAAGATATATTATTTAGGTATTTAATACTTGGACATTTTTTATATATATAATTATATAATTATAATAAACTATCTTTGCATCGAGACATGATCTTATCATGATGTGCTTGAAAAACGTTTTTGGGAAGATTTCGTGCGCTTTCTACAGCAAGAGTTAATATTGACATCGGAGATAGGAAAGTTGCGTCATTAGTTACATCTCTCTTAAAGAAAGAAATCTCTCTTAAGAAAATCTCTCGTATAAACGCACAAGCTTTTTTAAAAAGAGAAAGAAAGCAGATAAAAAATCTCTTAAAACTCATCAATGATATAACAGATATTTGCATGATTCAATAATACATATGACTTGAAGTGTACTTAATTGTATTCGGTGATTCATGAAAATAGATGTATAATATACATAATGTAAATCCATAGTATAAATGCAGAACACGAACTAATAGACGTAGTTCGCATTTTAATTTATCGCATTTGAATAGTAACCTGCGTTAATTATGCCGAGATAATATTTATATAAAAGAAATCACAGAATCACACGACATACTTTGTATTTAAACTGACAGATTTATTACTCAGACTGATTGAGATCTCGAAGATAACCGAAGAAAGACCACCATTGGTCATATACCACACATAAAGGAAAAATAGATTGTTCCAAATTTCGCCATTCATATAATTAAACTTTATTTGAATTTTTTGCTCGTTTGATTTATATGTTCGTGCGCAAAATTTTTTATCAATTGATCTAAAACGCGTACTCAAAGCTTGCTTCTATTCCATTATTCAAAATAGTAAGATATTTCATTTTTAACGCATAAATTAACAAGAACTTAACTATTCAATTAGAAGTATAATGAATTAATAAAATTTAAATCCCTTTCGTATTAAAATCAGGATAAAATTATCAGCTCTTTCTTATTCATTGATCGTTTTCTTTATCACTCCGTTTCTTATAAACATTTCTTTTTTCAATTTATTTTTTTCTATTCGATTGCATCGTTATAATAACCTAACTGCCGTTATCGTATATGAAAAAAAAAATTATTAAAAAAATTATTAAAAAAAAAGTTTAAGTCACGCACAGATAAAGCAGCCGCGAAGTTAACGGACACACGAATTGACCTTGAATGTAATGCTTGCACTGACATTATTTATGCAAATCGACCCACGAACAAAGATACTAATCGTGATGTTCCTGCAGAAATATAATAACGCGATATCGACATTAATGGAATAATTTCATAATGCAAGTTGCCCTTTATATAATGCTGATACAATCTGTAAACTTTTTTTTTCCCTTTATCTTCACTTTTTTATGAAATACAAATGCATTATTCTATGTATTCCTCTCTCTTTCTTCCTCTCTTTATATATCATATATATTTCTTTTTGTAAAAATATATTCAGACCAAAGTAAATGTAAAATTGGAAATACGTCTCATATTTTATTTTGATGTTTCAATTCAAATCGGGTGAAGGAAATTTATGACATAAAAGTATAGTTTACGTTATTTTTCCCCAATTGCATAATTAAACGTCTTAAATATTAAACTATTTACGCGAAAAAGATATCAAGAAACGTTAAATATAAAATTAGGCCAATATTTCGTGCTCGAAACATAGGTAGCAATATCACATTGCAATTTTCGAATCCACAATTTGCGATCGATCCACCGCAAATCAAGAATTACCGTTTCTGCTAGTAATTAAGTTTCAATTTTAATTGATCGGCCTCCGACCGAGAAAAGCCGCTCGCTCGCTTGTGGCGGTTCGCGATGCGTTTGCGCGAGAAACGTCCGGCAAATCGACCCGCGAAAAAACCGACCAATTGACGGAAGCAGGCAAATCGCAGGTCCGGTTACAGGCATTTACATACCTCGACACAAGATAAAAATTTGCTACTTTCATACTTATCATATTAACTGTGAAATAATCTCAATTTTACAATTATTTTTAATTTTACCAATTTTATGCATTATGGAATTTTTATTTTTATTTATACATAAGAAAAATGTAAGTATATATGTCAGTATATAATATAACTTATAAAAAATGCAATGGCTTATTTTGCTTTATTTATATATGTACGCTTTCCCTCGATAATTTAAAAAATAATTTTAAATTTGACAAGAGTTAAATCTTCAAATTTAGTCTTTATCTTAATTTCTCGAATAGAATAAATTAAATCTAGATTAATTTCCTCAAACTTTTAAAAGAATAGCCGAAAAGAATTAAACTAAATACTTTGCATGTCTCGAACAGAAACGTCGTATCGCACCTATCGTCGAGAACCCGAAGAAACCGGCCCTGGTAAGATTGGTCGGGTGGTAAGTGTCGGACGCGAGCGTCGAGGCGCCCATGAAACAGGGGCCGGTCGGTCGGTCGGTCTCAGTAATCTGCACGATGCCGCCGTGATCGGAACGGCATCGCGTACTTTTCCTGGTGCGACACGCGCACGCATCATCACGTGGCACGCACACACCACGCGTTCGGCTGTCCTGCCTCCTGCGGCGCGAGGACCACGTCCGACGTCCCTCGCACGCGGCGTCCCTCGCGCACGAAGCGTCCCACGACCCGGGGGAGAAACGACGCCCGCCGCCGACGACGACGACGACGACGACGATCACGCGCGACGACAAATGCGTCAGTGATCCCGCCGCCGGATATATGCCCGGAGAAGGTACGACGTGAAAAAAAGAGAGAGAGAGAGAGAAAAAAGACACACGATCGACCTGGGGAGACGGATCTCTCCTGCGCGGCTCTATAGAAATCCCGGGATTAAAAAGCCCACCCGCTGACCCCGTGAACCCGTGCACTCGTCGCACAACTGCATACGAAACTGCAAACAGCACTCACAGACTTCACGGCGGTTATCCGGGAGATTCTATTTTTCGCGATAGCGTTATGAGGGATGAAAACGTTCGATATGATAAAATCCGTGTATATTTAAGATACAGTGATAATGTTAGTCCGAAATGTAAATTGTTATAAGGACACATGACCGTCAAAACATGAAATTTTGACGTATTCAAGATGTGTGTTATAACAAGAACTCCAGATTAACTTGATCTGCTTAGAAACTTGTGTCATTAATGTGATTGACTATATACGTTGCTTTTTTCTGTTTCTATTTTTAGTTAATGCTATACGCTAGAATCAAAGATTCAGTTGAACTAGGCAAACTATCAATGTTAGTGAAACTGGACCTCAGAAGTTGACGATTAAATTGAAACAGTTAAAGTTTTTCTCTACTTCTAAAAAAAAAAAATATAAATCAAATTGTACTGACAGTATGGATTAACTAACTGCAAGTTAAAAATTCTCACTAATATTTACAAGAAAAATCTACCTATAATATAAATAGACAGAGAAAAAAAAAATTTTTTTAATCGAGTTAGTGTTGTAGTAGAGGACAATCATAATTCAAGATTAAAATTAATCCATGTTGGTGAAATCTTATTTGCCATTTGATATTTCTTGGACACAAATTATTTGCCGACGTTTACTAATTCAAAGATCAAACAATGTAATACAAAAATAATACTTGATACATGTTTCTATAAAATGCCTATAATAATTATGACATCATCTCTGTGTCTTATTATCCAACGATAATATCCAAGTCATAATATTTGTGATTGACACAAGTTGATTAGCAATATTTCATTAACCCACTGACCTATCTATTTCGCAAATATTGTCTCGATCTGATTACGAACAGTCTCTTCCTCGAGAATATTTTTGTAACATTAAATATATATCTCTTCTTTTTGATAAAAAACGCTACTTCTGTATAATCGTTTCAAGTATCTTACTTATTTCATACTTCAACAATAAACTTAATATAACTTTAACAAACTTATTAAATCTTTTAATCTAATCGTCTCGATAAAGTCTTTTCTTTAAAATTTTCTTTAGAAATATTAATTAACAATTTTTTCCATCACATCTCTCGATTATTTTCATCATATTTTGTTAACGAATTTTAATTGAATGATATTAGAGAGAGAAAGAGAAGATGATTAATGCTTGAACTAACATCTGTCGTTGTCACGTACTTCAATAATAAATTCTTATTCCATACAAGATGCGAATGTAATTGTGAATTATAAATCGACGGTTCCATTCACGTTGAGATCAAAGACGTTCTCTTCGCTGTGGGAACGGAGCGTTTCTCCTGTCCTGAATCTCACGGAAAATATAAGTCGCATGCACATAGAATCGTCCAGGCTTATGTAATCTAACCGGTATCCTGACGCCGGTACCGATCGCACTGCGTCGCATAGAGATGTCTCATTTGTGCGAATAAGATAAATCTTGTTTCGCACAGTGTTTCATTCATCCATATTAATGTTGCGCAACAGAGTTATCGTTCTTCCTGATGACGGTCTTATGTAATTTTGTTCTATCTTGTACATGTATTATTATTGTCGCGTACATATCACAATTATTCCGGAAAAAAAAAATATATATTTATTATTAAATTATATAGTTAATTGTATAAGTTAATCTTGAAAATAAATTTACGATAACAGTGAAACAGAATAAATATACATATATTTCATTGATTGTATTGAATCTATAGTGAAGGATTGAGTTATATAAAAGGTTATGCGACAACGGATAAACGCACAATAGATTATATTGGAACGGTATAAAACGGAAAAAAGTCATTTTTGTTTCAAAGACTGATTGGCCGGTACCGGTAATTATGATATTGCAACGTATTATAGTGTTGCAATTTTG